GTGCTCCAGGTCTTAGCAAAGGGTTATAATGGATATTCCCTAGGCCCACCTCAATATTGGATTCCGAAGAGTTTAGGCATAAGGTTATCCTGCCCAGGTTCCCAACGACAAAGAGGTGGCCGCGTTGGGAGGTGACATTGCCCGGGGGCTTGTTCGCCCTTATCCTCCGGAACCCATTTGCCTTGACGAGAAGACTACCTATGGGCAGGTTCTGCGTGCGTTGCTTGCGTTGACCATTGAAAGGCTTGGCCTGAGGTGGTATCAAACAGTCATGTTGGTTGATTGGGGCCAATGCGAAGCTCAAATGCTGGCTTCCTTGCAGCCGGATGCATCTGTGATTCTTGCGCTCCTTGGTGATAGTATTGCCTTATGTTGTCTTCATGAGAGTTTTTGCATCATGCCTGAACTTAGATTAAAGGCTAGCGAAAACTCTTTGCATGAGGTTGCTATACTCGAATGACCATTGGGCTTTCCTGATCGTCCGCGTTGGGGAATGGGTTCCACTCATATATGACGGTTTGCGGTTACCCGCGATCCTTGATGCAGCTTCTGCCTTCTGTCTGTGGTTGCAGGAGGTTTGGCATTTGCCGCAGAAGTTATCCCCTCAGTGGGCTGATTCATACACTCAGCATGATTCCTGGTCCTGCGGTCATCGCATTCTTGTAAGCTGGCGCTATCTGCTGAACACACGGTTGCTTCAGCAACCCTTTGCAACACCCCTGAAAGAATATCTCATTCCCGAGGATGTACTTTGCCGGTCCAGCTTGCAGGAGCTGAGTAATGTTAGCCTTTCAGGTGTCTTGGCGAAGTCAGAGATGTCAGAGACGTCAAAGCCGGTTGCCGATCTCAGGCCGAAGCTTGAGCTCAATTCTGGCATCAAGGCGGTGAGTACATCTGCCAAGAGAGAAAGACCCTCTGACGATCAGCAGGAGCTTCGGCCTGTCCGTCCCAAGATGGAGGTTGGTCCCAAGATGGAGGTTTCAGTGGATGGCGCTACAAGTGCTGCGCCCAGCAATGGCAATCCTGCAATATGTTCGGCTATCGCCCAGGTTGTTTCAGTGCAGCATGATGATGCTAGTGGTGAAGAAGATATGGTTGAGTCCGATGATCCTGCCATCCAGCCTTCGCAGAGAGAGTTGAAGCGGGCAGAAAAGCGTGGCAAGGCCATTTGCCAGTTGCACGACGTCACCAATCTGCGATGGCAGAACACGCACAGAAGTGCCAAGAAGCAAATCAAGCAGGGGCATTGGCAGCGCTTCCTTCAGCATCGTGGTGGCATCCCTTCCGAGGAGGTCACGTCCTGCCCGGAATGCGTGACTTTGCTCAAGGAGACAGGCGAAGATCGAGCAGAGGACATGCAGCTCCCGGATCGCTATGCCATTCCCAACAATGGGAAAACAAAGCGCGGCCGGCCCAAGAAGGGTGAAGAACGTAAGATGGACTGGAAAGCTTGGCTAGTACAACATCGCCCAAATGAATACGAGATTTTTACAAAGGACGTAGTGGTCAAGAGCCGGCAAAAGGGTACTACAAAGCAGGAAAAAGATGTTCCTCATCTGCGATGTATTCGGTGTGGCGGCGAGTTCAGGGTGCAGCGTGACACCAACATGATTGCGCTGCATGTCCACGAGAGCAGCAAAATGCACCAGAAGTCCATGGGCCCGGAGGCCTGTCTGGCGCCTGTTCCCGTTCCAATTTCACACCCATGCACAGGAATCAACCTCATGGACAAAGATCAGACGAATCCAGACTCATTGTGTGGCCAGATGAGGGACGGCTTTTTGCATTGGGCCTGCCTTAACTGCCCAGACTTGACCAACAACAAGGCCACCATGTCGATTGAGGTCCGTCTCACGGACCAGCAGGGTGTCATCCTTCAAGACAAGCAGTGCCAAGAGAAGGGGCACAAGATTGAAGGGGACAAAGCTGCGTGTCAGCGTTGCAAGCGGTTGCCAGATGTTCTGTCCCTCGCGCAGGGTGTCGCGAAGATGTTGTACAGGATTTCCCTGGTTGACCTCATGACGCTGTCAATGCAAAACAATCGGCAGGCGATGAAGGATTTCTGGCAAGGCGTTCGCAAATCGCCCTGGTGCCGTTTTGCTCCTTACGACATGGATGCGGAGATGGCGGACATGTCGTTTCAACAGCTTTTCCGCAGGTGCCAGCAGGTGGTTCAAGGAGTCGACAAATCCCTCCGGAACGCGGCCTTCCACGCCTGGGTTTCTAATCGGATGAGTTGGATAACGCCAGGCAGCCTTCCAGATCCAGAAGTTGCAAGCTCAGTCGAGAATTGTGCCATGGAGCTGGTGAACGACAAGTCAGTCCTGGACGGGAAACTTGCGCAAATGGTGAAGTCTGGGGTCCTCGAAGCAGATCCTGCAGCCCGGGTACTGGTTGCGGCCTTGGTTCAAAAGGCTGATCGCATCAGCAGAGGCCTGAAGCGAACAGGGTCATCCTCCGTTGACGGTGTGGATGAGCATTTGCTGCAACAGGTGCTGTTCCGTCTTTACCGGGGCATGTCAAAGAAGGAAGCCCTACAAACATTCGGCATTTCCAAGAATGCGGTTTCTGCAAAACGGATGCTTCAGCTCGACTTCCTGCCAAGTTTTTTCTGCCCCAGTGCAGATGTCCTCCAGAGCAATAGTTCGAGTGTGCTCGGTCACCTACGCGTCCTTGACACACGCCACTATGCACTGCTGTGGGACGATACTGCACCTCGACAGAACTTAACACATTTGAGATTGGTCTCATCTTGGTATATTTTGGTCCAAACCTAAGGTGTTCGCCCAGGATTACTCCTTGATGTATGGACTACGTGAGACTCCAATCATCATCGGTGGGGCGCACCCTGATGCCTCATGCGTCTTGCCACTCAGCGATGGCAGCCTCCCAGAGCTGCGCAAGGAGTCTCTGGCGCAGGTGTGCCTTTCTTTCCTCGTGAAACGTCTGGACAGAAGGGATGGGACATTTGACGTGAGGATGGTACCGAGACGTCTCAAGCAGATCACAGGGCAGGCACAGCTGCAGATGTGCGGCGAAACCTTGTTGGCTCTGGCGGAGAGCAACGGCGACAAGCCGCCACTGATTGTGGCATTTGACAACCATCCCGGGCACAATCTCGTGAATTGCACCCTACTTGGAGTTCATTCTGATCTTGCAGGTGTGCCGTTCTTTGAGAAAGGGGAGGTTGGGCCTTCACTTCGGGTGC